TCATTTCTTGTCATTAATTTCATTTCATCACAAAAAGTTAGGAGAAAAATTACCAAGTCCCCCAAAACCTATATCGCCCCATCCTAAGCTTTTCCCTTCCAGCTGAACAAATTCCACTTTCGACCAAATCCCCTTCCAACTGAGCAAATTCCACTTCTTACTGTCCAGAAAAACGTAACAAACAAAACCGGATTTAACAATAGTAGCAGTTTTACAAAAAAGTTCTTGCAGCACTTTCCAAGAGGCCTGCAAGCTTCAGAGACGATTTCATAATTTGCTCTGCTTAGCGCCGCAGACTTCCAGAAGGCAGTCGGTTCCACTGCAACCTCCAATCGTTGTCATTATTTTGGGAAAGATGCTGCAAATGGTCATTCTCAACCCTCGATCCCAGTGACAAGAATTAATCCCTCGGTAATTATGCGCGACTATCATTTTAAAATTATGAAATTCGTTAACACTGCGTGAGAAAATGTTAAAATTGACGACTCACACCTACCATATTTCAATCATCGTCATTCCCGGCTTGATCCAGGATCTTACAAATTTCCGGGTCTGCCTATGCGCCTCTGCAGCTCGGCGAAAATCTTTATAAACTTCCTCGTACGAAGCATCAAGGCTCTGCAATCAAACAGTTTCACCATATATATAGTATACACATGTGTACGTCTGCATAAACGAAGTTCATCTATTCATTGAAAAAGTATAAGCATTGCAAAAGAAAGATCTACAACTACCTTCTTTTCCTCATTCGTCATTCGATTAATAGCCGTGCGATCATCCGCCATTCGTTTGTACTCACAGATTTCTCCAGTCGGAAAATCTCCGTTCGGAAATTGCTTATCGACTGGCTGTAGGTCTTTCACTTCTTCTTCAAACTGTTCTGTCAGAGATTTCTTCATTTGCTGTATAGGCGGAGCCTCAACACTCGTTTCCTGACCTGAAAAAAAAACATGTAAATTAAAGGAATTGAAACAAACAAATTTTGTAGAAGTACCAGACAAGACAGGATGTTTCGAGGACTGCTGTGCAAACACTCGCCAAACTATAACCACTGGTTCAACTTCGACATAAACGAAAC